ATCACCCTCCTCTTCTCCACTGGTCGTCTCTCTCTGTCTCTCTACATCCCAGTGCCCTCTCCATCCCCTCTCTCTGTCACTTCCTGTCTCACTCTTCAGGTCTGTGTTAGCCCTATATATTAAATATTAATGTTAGTTGTGCTCTGAGCCATAATTGCCATCTCAGCCTCTGAATAATGGATGTAACTGTGCTGCTCACTACTACACCATGGCTAACAGGCTAAGAAAACTGCATCCAACTGTGGTTTGCTACTTTACTATGGATTTCAGACAAAATAACACTAGCTTGGTTCATTACATTATCATGAATAACAGTAACAATGGTAAGTACAAACCTAAAAATAAATCCCCACTAGCATTTAATTGTGGATGACAATATTATGGGTTATGTTTTGGATCAAAAGCTAGAGCATGATGCTGTGGTCCACTACATCACCATGTTTACAGGCTGAAAAAAACTAGCACTGCAATATGGAAAACTCTTATACTGTGATCAAAATGTACTCAATGGTTTGGTCTCACTGCTTCACAACAGCAGGAAGCCAATAATTAACAGCGAAGTGAACCAGTGAAGCTAAACAACTAGCAGCCATGAGCTAGGTGTTTTTCTCAGAAGAAATTATGACAGCAATATCAGGTTTATAAAGTTATAATACAGTATGCCATGACTGTAGGCATGTCGCATTTGGGTAGTATAGGTAAAAAACACATACAGGCCGACTTTACCATGACTAGCAACCTAAATAACCTAAATTGTATACCAATACACCTACCTCAGGTCATAAGATCGTAGGTCTTATTTATTTTTTCCAGCATCCTTTGCACTGTGCTCCATCACACTGTGTACATGTGTACATGTATGCATATGTGTACCTGTATATCATATCCAGCTTCAACATGTACATAATGAGAATAGTTTACTCTTGCATCCTTTGCACTCTGATTACTGCACTATTTGTCAATATGTCTTTATTGTTTTGTTCATAGTGTGTATATTAGTGTTGTCTACTCTGTAGTTTGTGTCTGATTTTATTTTATTATTATATATTATTATTTTATTATTGTATAAGTAAGCACGTCGTGAGCAATGTACAATCCTGAGTCAAATTCCTCGTATGTGTACACATACCTGGCAATAAAACTGATTCTGATTCTGATTCAGATTATTTGATCAGGGGACTAAAAAGGCTTACTCTTCCAATCAAGTTTAAAAAAATTCAGATTTCTTACAAAGGAACAAACCTAATTGCCATCTGAATTATGCTCACATGTGTTGCATTGTTGGGATCGTTGTGCTGTTCAGACACAGGAGACCAGAGTATGTGTTCCCTCGCAGAACAGCAATTAATATTTGCCTTTTTGTTTAACTGTTACCACCATGTTTTTTTTGCCTCACCCTCACCATACTTTGGTTTAGTCATAACCATGCGCAGATATTGTTGAAAGTGAAAATTTTTAAATGGTGGCATTGGGCATTATAAAACATAACTGAACTTAATCTTAAACTTTTTCTCAAAATCATCAAATGTTGATGATAACCATGTATGATAAGATTTGGGCATCTGATGAACTAGTGGCTCTCTCTCTTCCAATGTTCCCTGCCTGTATCTGCATCTATACCATCACTATGTAATAAATGCAGTATAAAAAGAAAGTAATAATCTTGTACATTAATCTCCCTTCCTTCTGCTTGGTTTCTTTCCATCTTTATTTTTTACTTTCCAGCTGCTACCATTGTTACACTTCCCTGTCCAAATGGTGTGTGTGTGTGTGTGTGTGTGTGTGGGTGTGTGTGTGTGTGTAAGAATCTCTTTGTGTGTTTGCAGCATGCAGGACTGGTGTCGGGTCAGCTCTCTGAATGTGGTACTCACAGCATAGCAAAGGTCAACAGCTCTGTTATCACTTGAACATGATCGGGCCTTGGAGAGAGGGAGTGCGATAGAGGAGAGAGGGGAAGAGTGCTCCCCTCCCCCACAGTCATTCAGGCTCTTATAATTGCCCCGTTTAATTGGAGTCCTCTTAACGACCAGTGAGTGGACCAGCCAATCAATTCACACAAGGTGTCTATGTGTGCGTGTGTGTGTGTATGTCTCTCTTTGTATGTAGCTGCCAGGCCTTTTTGTAACAGAGTTGATTAGGCCAGATGGGGTCAAGTGAAGGGGGAAGAGGAAAATACACATACTGAATTAAAATGTAGAATATGGTCTGCTGGAAATCAATGAGAGAAAACGCTCTCACAGGAAATAAATCGAACAGTAGATGAAAATATGAAAAATAACCAGCAGTATCATCAGACCACCAACAAGATAAGCCAGTGATAGACTGAAATTATTTGGTTTGTGAATACACTGAATGTTGATGGCAAGATAAGAGTTTGTTGATGATTTAGGTAAGGCTTTAAGTCATTCCTATCTTTCTCAGTGGTGCAGCATTAAGACCAGAGCATTTCACATTCACATCTAAATGCAATAGGTTTACAACGACCACCGAGCAAAGGTAGAAAGTAAAGCTGTGCATTTACTCAAAGCACTGCACTTGAAGGAACCCTGTTGAGTTTCTGAACACTAGTAGCGCCGTAAAGGATGTAGGCTGTAGAGGGCAGTAACAGTTGGTGGCCAGTAAAAGAGAAGAACAAGAAGCTCACAAGCTGACGTGAACAATGCAGGTTTCTGAACATTCAAAGTGTTTTTTAGTTTGTTATTTAAGGCTTAACACATTTCAGTGAGAGGCACTGTTTGTAGGAATGCACCGATCCAACTTAGAACCAATTCTGGTTCTGATACCTCACCTAAGGGTGAGCAAGTACTGATCCAAAAACAGTGGGCTTTTTATGTGTGTGTATACCACACTGTGTCAAACTCATTTGAATATTTTTTAGGTAAAATAACATGAGGTCAGGGATTGCTGTGGCACTTAAACTGAGTGAGCTGCCCATCGTGACTCAGGAAACACAAAATCTTATAATGATATTGACAATGAAACTGTAAATTAATGTAGATTGGTCACGTCATTTCCGGTACCCAGTTTGTTTGATGAAGTGAGTATCCGCACCTATACCCATCCAGCGTATCGCATCTGTATCTATTTTTAAATTTTGGGTTTCCTTATACTTCTATCCCAGTACATTTAAGAAACATATTACATTTTACTTACTGTTTGACTTATAGCACCACCTGAATTAGCTTAAACTATAAAATACCTTACATTTAACACTCTGACAGCTGTTTTCCAGATTGAGCTACATTTTAAAATGTAGGACTTTTCACTTGTAGTGGAGTATTTCTAAAAGAAGAACATTTCTTCCTGCTTTAGTCTTTTAATTTCAGGCAAATGAGCAGGGGAAGTGTGTGAGCCTCCCGATCACCTCCTATACACAGAGATGTGCAGCGGAGGGTCAGCTGAGGTGGTTGTGTTAACGCTATGCTAGTGTTTTGAGAAGGACTAGACAGTGGGAGGTCAGCAGGGATCACCGTGGCTGTCCTCCGCTGTGATAGGCTGTCACCCGGGGGTGAGGGGTCAAGATAATTAGGCATGCAGAATCCCAGCGCCGGTGTTCTAACGAAGCCTGAGCTCGTTAACGCAGAGTTTTACACTCGGACCTGCCACTGAGCTGTGCTGCACCGTCACACATGCACATACACTCACATGCAGAGCACATGTTCACACACACACATACACAAGCGCACACCTCTACTTTGTGCCGGCAGTCCAGTACAACAGCTGTCATCTCTTGAACAGTAGAGCACCATGCTCTGCCACGAGGGAATGGAGACTTGTGAAAAGTGTGCTGTATAGCTGTATTAACCTAAATACAGAGTGTGGAAATAAAGGGATGAAACCAAATATTATAGCGATGCAATTTTTTTGGAACTTAGAGTATTTCACTTTTGTTGCAACAGAGAGATGCTGATTTTACTTGATTATCCTTTTCTTGGAGGCCGCAATTTGTGTAGTTGCTTTTGAATGTATCTTTGTGTGCTTGCTTTCCAGATTTCCTTTTACATTCAGATGTGTTTTTTTCTGTCTAATTCTACACTTCTCAAGCAATTATACAAAGACAAAACAGTGCTGTGTATGAACACATAATGGAAAGGTTTATATGAGGAGTGCAATGTAAAGGACATTTAGTCTTGGATGTAAGATTGTGCACTGGTGCCGCTTTTATCGAGTTGTAACGGACACAGATGTAACAAACGTACATGCAAAGATGAACATGTGTGTGTCTGTGTTATTGTGTGACTGTGGCTTGTTGTTTCTGCCAGCCTGGCCAGCTGGCTCACACCAAAACACAACCTGGATGTGTTTGTTAGCTGCTGATGGCCATCTGTGTGTTTGATTTATTCTGTAATATAGATTCATGACATATGGTTCCGTTTCAAACACCCAGTGTCAACACAGTTCATCTTTTTTAATGATTTGGATTCTGGGTTAGCGTTAGGAAAACACCTTTTACCAACCTTTAAAATCGGTATTTTCACACGACACAAAGTTGTTTTGAAATCATTTGAATCCAAACATTGCTGAATTAAGAAATCATTGAGGATGAAGGTCAAGTTGAACAAAGTCCTAAGGAAAGACTTTGAGTCTTTGGAAGAATGTTGAAGTTTGGATTCACAAAACTACAAAACTGAAGGTCATACTTAAGATTTTCTCAAACTTAAACTGGCTCACAGTCACACATTTTTAGTTTCGCTGGAGTGTGCTACTTTATTTGCCTTCTTGTATGTTCATCCAACACCTTTATGTGGCTTTTCAAAGCAGTCTCAGTTGGTGTGGATTTAAGAACAAAAAAGCAGTTTCTACACATCCACAAGGAAATTCATTTTGACTTTCCAACAGTATGAAATATTAATTTCTGGGTTTGGGGTTCTGTCTGTACTGAATGTTAGAAACTGAGCTTGAATTCATATATCCTGAAGAAAAACGGTGAGGTACTCCTCACTCCGGTCTGATGTTTAACTGTTAACCTCAAATATTGCCTGTCCTCTCTGTCTCTGCAG